AGCTTGTAATTTAAGTAATGTAACCCTTCCCGTTGCCAAATTCCATGAAGACGTGGCTCTAATCAGAAAAGCAAAGAGGTAAAAACAGCACCACCGTAAATCCGTCTTCCCTAGCTACCCTGAGTCCTAGCTGATTTGTGCACAAATGGCCAGATTCCCCGCTGGTGTCTATTGCCTGAGAATCTGGTCCAGAAACTCCTGCAAATCATGAAGCACCCTAAACAAAAAAAAAAACCATGGCAGGGCTGTTCTGTTCTACCTGGCACATCAGCTAAATTGGCAACTTTTACTTCTGATTTCTTAACGATGCTGACAACATGAGCGGCACCAAGAGCATGACGAGATGTTCAGATCTCAGGGACCCTGGTGCTGACAGTTACAAAAACGACTGGCCTGGCTCCTCAGCGACAGATATCGGCCTCGACTTCAATTGGAGCGATGCTGCTTTGCGCCAGCTGAGGAGGTGGCCCGGGCTCTTTGGACGTGAAACTGAGCTGCTCTGCCATGAAGCCAGGCGAGAGATGAAACATGTGGAATGCAGCACAGTGGCTTGTTGACAGAGCATCTGTTCTGATGATAAATGCACTTAAAGCACCCAGGTTAAAAGAGAGAGAAGCGGAAACAGTTGGAAAAAATCCCTAGGCTTTTTTTATTGTGGGGTTTTTTTAGGGGAAGTCTTTTTGCTGAGATGTTTAAAACTCCCCTTTAGGATTAAAATGTAGTGCCTGCGGTCTCCCCCTGTCCTATGCTCTAGTGACACCCCTCACACAGAGTTTCTGACGCATGCAACATTTCTATTACAAACCCCTTATTTTCAGGATTCTGCAGCTCAGACCAAACCATCTCCCTCCAAGTGACTGCCCCGCAAAGTTCAGAAACTCTTTGTCTCCACCACACAGACTGCAGGCACAAACGCACTAGCCTGTATGAACCCAGCACTAACGGCCAACTCCTGTTCTTATTTACACTGGCGTAAATCAGGAATAACTCCACTGAAATCAGTGCAATTTCTCCAGGTTTATGCCGAGAGCAGAATTCCACCCTAAAAGCCTTATTTTGCACAGACAGCAAAAGATTAGAATCCAGAACTCTTACGGTCCCGCCAATCTCATTGAAGTCAAAAGGCCTGAGTCTGATATCACCTGCATCAGGGGCGGCTCCAGGCAACAGCGCAGCAAGCGCGTGCCTGGGGTGGCAAGCCGCGGGGGGCGGCCTGCCAGTCGCTGTGAGGGCGGCAGGCAGGTGGCTTTTGGCTGCATGCCTGCAGGAGGTCCACCGGTCCCCGCGGCTTCGGTGGCAATTCGGCGGCGGGGACACCGATGGCGCGGCGCCGGCGGACCACCCGCAGGCATGCCGCCAAAAGCCGCCTGCCTGCTGTGCTTGGGGCGGCAAAAAACAGAGCCGCCCCAACCTGCATCAGTTTTATACTGCTGCAACTCCATTGCGGGGCTCCTCCTGATAGACACCGAGGTCAATAAGTGGGGAATCAGGCTCAATGGAGTTGCAACAGTATAACGAGAGAGGCGTATTTAACCCTGAGAGTCCTGTCTCTTACCTTACACTGCACACTAGATTTCATGCCATTGCCTTGCAATTGAGGCTGAAAAATCCTATCCGTATGAAACATTCAAGCTAATGGAAAAGTGGTTCAGGCAGACAAGATGTTGCCCGTCACTCGTAGCTGCTGAAGAACATACTGCATAGCACTTTACACCCCTAATTTCGATCTCCCCTGCATTCCCTCTTTAATGGTCTAACTCAGGGGCTCTCAAACTTCATTCCACTGTGACCCCTTTCTGATAACAACAATTACTACATGACCCCAGGAGGGGGGACTGAAGCCTGAGCCCACCCGAGCCCTGCCGCCCCGGGGGGGCGGGGAGGGACTGACCAAAGCCAAAGCCCAATGGCTTCCGTGGGGCTCTGGCTTCGGCCCTAGGTCCCAGGAAGTCTAACACCAGCCCCGATGACCCCATTAAAATGGGATCACAGTCCACTTTGGGGTCCCTGCCCACAGTTTGAGAACCGCTGGTCTAACTCAAAGTTGCAGGGGATGGGTTAGCGATCTAAGCATCTGGTTTAAAATACCTGGGGCCACGCACTTCGGTGGGATAAATCCCGGTGAAGTCAAAGTGATCAGAACCTAGTCCCTGGATTCCCCAGATCCACGGCTTCAAATCCCGGGGGGTCCATGTGGCCCCTTGTCCTTTGGAAATTGATAAAGCAAGTTCGCTGGCTGGGAGTTTGTTAACCAAGGTCCTGTCTGCTGGGCATGGACATTAAAGGTCACATGCCACTTTTAGCAAAGATCTGCCCCAGAGTCTGTGGCCAAAATATCTCTTGCCCCGAATCCGTTGCTGTTATGCCGTGTGATCACTGCCAGACACCCCAGAGGTGATTGCGTTTCAGTGATTCCTGTCTGAGAATAGTCTATTAAACATATTGGGAGCCTTTAGCATCTATCTAGCTACATATATGGCCCGTATCACTGTAGTATTGGAGCAATGAAAGACGCTCTATCAATGCAAGCTGTTAATACCGCACAGCATTGTTCATGTTCATTTTCAGAGTAGGTTAAAACTCAGGCCCCCGACACAGATAAAGTTCTGCTCTGTATTACAGGTTGCAGGTCAGCAACATGACATGCTTTCAACACTCAGGATCACAACCCCTGTGTTCCTCCTAAGTAGGAGGTGAGAGGAATAAAGAATTGCTTCCCAGTCCATGGATTTTAAGGGCGATTTTGCAGTCCCTCAGACAACTTTCTTCACTGCAGTGTTTTAAGAGCGACCGAGGTGTTTTGAACCTGCAGCTCCGCGTGCGCCTGATTGAAATGAATGGAATTACACCGGAGTGACACAGCAATGAATCTGGCCCTCTGCATGCAACGAGAGTGAACGGTGACAATGCTAAGCGCCAGAGAGTGTGCAGCTCCCCCGGAAAGGACAGCGGATCTGATGTCTCTTGCACTTACGCAAGTGTCTCCGTTCACTTCAGTGGACTTATTCCTGATTTACATCAGCCCGCGAGCAGAATCAAGCTTTGAGTCCCGGCACAATCAACAACAGTCCCATGCCAGGATCTCAGTCTCCGGTCAATGCTGCAGAGTTAATCCCAGAGTTTATGATCTGAAGTTGTCTGTTTGCTGGGATTTCTCTCTAGCTCTGGTGTCTGTCAATGAATAATTCACTGGTAAAATATCCATTAAAAATCCACAAGAACGGAGACAGCCTATTTGCTCGTTAACCCAGCGATCACAAGGGTAGCAGAATCAGAGTGTGTCTATGTGGTGGGGAGCGGGGAAGGCTTGAGATGGATAGCACAGCATATCCTCCTGCCCCATGCTCGCTCCCAGCGTTTGTGGCAACACAGATTTAGCAGATTCAAGTGACCGTACTTCATCAACACCAGCCGGGGGCCCCGATTGAAGTCAATGGGAGTTTTGCTGTTGACTTCAATTGCAGCAGGTCTGAGAAATGTGATGTTAGCAGGTGGCACATATTTTACTATAGTATAACCCCAAGTGGGCTGGAAGTCACTGACCATGTTGGCTTTTGGTCTGTTCAACATCAGACCCAGGCAGGGTCGCTGGAACAATTTTTATAGTGGGGGTGCCACTGTAAAGCCTGTATATAATGAAAACCACTTCAAGTCAGGGGGTGCGGTAGCACCCCTAGTTCCAACATCTATGGACTCAGGGAGAAGAAACATGATCAGACATCAACTGTTTCAACCCCACGCATTCTATAGCCCCTGAACGGCACATCTCTGCAGCGTACACTGATTTTCTTTCAAATGCGACTAAGTTCCTATTCCCCCCGAAGACAGAGAGGGGTGAGTCTAGAGATAATCTGAATGTATGTGCTGCTAGTTGTTTTTTCTTGTTTCACTAAGAGCCATTGCACGGGCAACACGACAACAAAACAACAAATAACACTAGAACCTTCTGCCACATCCCCGAGCAATGGGCCCAAGTCCTTAACACGGGCAAAACTCCCAAATGAATTTCAACGGGAACTTTGTTTGAGTGAGGGCCGGGGGACCGAATCCCTTTCTAAGCACTTTTCATTTTCTACATCTAAAAGCGGACATGATCATAGGCAGTGACCCCAGACCTCCTTACCCATTTGCCCAGCATCAAACATGGTCAGTAATAACAATGCCAGAGCGAGGAAGAAATATATAATAGTCTTGTAACCTAATGGCTGACGGAGCACACAGTGTGTTTTTTGATGTACAAAAACTGATGTCTTATGACATTTCGCTTCATCCATAAAGATGAGCAGAGCAAGTCGTCTTTGGTCGTACCACCTTGAGATCTAGACCTCTTTATGTTCCACTCAGGAAGATAGTTGTCTTAATAGAGATTAGCTCCTCATATAATAACAGTCTCACCATATAAAATCACTCTATATGATGTGTGTACACACACACAGATGGAACACACTCTTAGATGATAGAGGGTTAATACTACTTTCATTCCCCTGAGTATAAACCATATGCCATCCATGCGCTGACGTTTTGGACTGCAAAACAGATCCAGTATGCTACTGTACAGAGTCACTCCCAGAGCTGAAAGCAATTGTTTGCTGAAATTAAGCTTTAACATGATTAAATTAAGACTAACATTGTCATCCGGAACAGTGGACAAACATTTTGTCCCCATTAATAGGATGCCTTTCGGTAGAGGGTGGAGTGGGGCTGATCCTACAATTATTTTCAGTAGCTGGCTCAACTCAGTGTAAAAGTAATTTGGAAGTGGGTAATGAAAATTCTTCCGAAAGTACAGTCATTTTAATTTCATCTGGCGTAGCCGCTTTCAGACTAACAGCAGCAAGGACTCAGCGCACAGATCTGCCAGCAAAATCAAACATTCATCTAAAAAGCCAGCGCTTTGCTGTTTCTAAATCCCGGTACAGTAAATTACTCATCAAGGAAACAGCCTCAGCTAAAGGAAACAATTGCTCCAGAATGTGCAGGAGAAAGATTTAGCAACTTACCAGAGCATAGACAGAACTCAACACCGAGCAGCAGAGGATCAAACCCAGGCTGTGATAAACCAAATATGATCCCATAGCCAAGAGACTTATTGCAGCATCCACGTTCTCTAAGGGAAGTAGAAGGACGAAGGATCTTCCAGGGATCCAGTCGTAGATGATTTTTTCTTTCTTTTATTTTTCTTCCTTCCCAGCTTTTTTTTTTTTATTTGCTTGTTTGTTTCCACAGTTTTAGCCAGAGAGGCACATGACAAGAAACCCCAGTCCTTTGCTTCGCTTTCTCATGGCTGGAAATCGATGCAGTTTCAGAAATGTAGGGAAAGAGTCCATGTGAAGGGAGCACCAACACCCAGTTCAGTCAGAGCAGCAGTTCCCGGTGCTGTTTGTTTTGTGTGTGCATCTGTCTCAGAGCAGAAAAATCACATCCATATGTCAAAACTGCTATTCTGCTTCCTTTTTATGAGGCAGAGGGAAGTTCAAATAATTTCTTTGTCAAACGCAAACACACAGTAAGCGAGAGAGGTGTGGGAAGGGGGGGGGGGAGTCTTTAACCACTGCTTTATTTTTAGAGCTAGTAATTTTATCTTTGAGGTTGGGGGTGGGGGGGGGGGAGTTTGGAAAAAAAGCTTTTTTTAAGCAAGCAAACAAATCAGAAAGTTACAAATGAAAAAAAAAAGTTGGAAATATTTTCACTTCGCAATTACGTTTATGCAAACAGGAGTGCTGCTGGGTATTTTTGCTTGTATGTTTCAGCGCAGCTCAGCTCCACAAGAGGTTTATTCTGTCAGCCTTCCCTGGATGCAAAATGTGTTTTAGTTACAAATACGGATTTTTTTCTTCTTCTCTCCCTCTCTGTCTGTCTCAAAGGAGCTGCAGTTTCAAAAAGCCAATTGAGTATGGGCTGAAAGCGTGGGGCTGAAGAGCTGCTCTTCCCCCTCCACCTTAAATAGTTTATTTTAGATGTTGCAGCAAAAACTCTTTTCACTTACTCCATGAAATTTTCCAAAATCTACGCTTTTCCATTGGCACAAACGCACACACACAAGCTTCTTGTCCTGTCCTCAACCAAGAATCAAATCACCACAGCCCAGTCAAGTAAAAGTTGTTGCTTTTCTCTCTCTCTCTCTCTCTCTTGCTGCGGCTGTTGCGTTAGACTCACTTACGAAATGAACATGCTGACAGTCCCTTTACTTCCACATAGACCAGAGGAGATTCAAGAGAGAGAGAAAAAGGCAGTACACTTTTCATTTGGGAAAATCTACCCGCTGCCCAGGATAGACTCCGTTTGTATCGTTGCCTTCAAAACACATCGACCCTGCCGCTTCCACCAACCCACACGCACACAAAAGACAAGACAATCGGGAGATTAGAACGTCCTCCTGTTTCTGTGCTCAACTCCCACCCCCAGCCAACACCCACCGATGAAATTTACCAGCTTGTTAGTTTCACGGCAGGAACGTTACTCCGAGCTGTCTGTCAGTTTCATTCATAAAGCTGCAAGAAAAGGCACCGTCTTTCCCTAAGCAAAGGGCTTTCGTTTTGTTTAGGGCGGAGCGGCAGCCCTTCTTGTCTACTGGTTTTTTTTTGGGGGGGGGGGGTGAGTTAAATAATAACGAAATAATGCCCCCCGATTTAATTGGGTTGCTGGGGCTGGATTTCTTTTTGGAACTTGGAGAATCCAATCGTTTGATGGATTGGATTTGATTGTTGCAGAAGCCGCAGGTTTCTGCCAGGGGTTGTGATTTTTTTTTTTAAAGGGGGGTGGGAATCGTTGCAAGAAAAGATCTTTGGAGGGCAGGCGGTAAAAGCATCCAATTTTCGCAGAGTGCGTTTCTCTTTTATTTTTGTGGAGAGAGGAAAAAAGTCTCTACGGTTGCTTTGCCCTATATATATATAGAGAGAGAGAGAGAGAGCGCTGCCCTTGGCTGTGAATGGGTGCCTTTAGCTAGTTTTATGAAAAGGGTCTCTTTCCCTGCAAAGGTAGAGTCGGGCTTCCTGTGTGTGTGTGAGAGAGAGAGCCATAATCCTGCTCTTGATGCAAACTCGTCCTCTCTGCTGCCCCTCTATACCAGTCTGAGTAGATCTCAGGGAATGTGTGTGGTTTTGGAGCAAAGAGGCAGGTATAAGAGCCACCCCATTGGCTGGTGGCGGCCGCCATGTGACCACCAGACAGGGCTAGCTGTCCACACCTCCCACCCCCCCACCCCCCTCAGCAGCCAGCCCTCCCCGCTAGCCTCAGCTCATGCCCGAGGAGGGGGGTCTCTGCTGCCTGAGGTTTCTTTCAGGGGCTGCATAGGAACCGCATGGCCCCGCAGATAAAATGCATAGGATTTGCAGCCTTATGGGGCGGAATGGGGGGGGGGGGTTGGCATGGCTGGAGGCACCCTCCGAGCAGAAACAGATCTTCTAGGGTAATATCCCCCGCCCCTGGGAGAGTAGTGAGATCTTGCAAAATTTGGAGGCGAGCAAAGGGGTGGGCTCGGAGGGGGGGATGGATTTGAAAGCCGGCTCCTTTGAAAGGGGGAGCAGGATCTTTTTAAGTGGGTTGCTTTTTATTCTTCTTCTTATTTCCCCAGTTCTGGACTTTGTGCCTGGGGAGGGAAGGGGGATATTGACCTGGCCGAGAATCGGGTGGCTGTTTAAAGGGGGCTGTGGAAGAGAGGGATCCGCCCCCCCCCTCCGCATGGTCGTTTGCAAGCTGCGCTGGGAATGTAAAAAAGCCCACCTGGCCAGCGCCCACTTTCTGTCCCCCCCTGGAAGGAAGAAAGCGGCGGCTCCTTGCCCAGAGCTTTCCAACAGCTCCCAGCCTTGCAGCTCTGCGCCTGGGTCTTTTTACTCACTTCAGCTAGGCAGGGAAACAACAAACACAGGGCATCAGCCAGTGGTTTGTTTACCTAGGGCCTCTCTGTGCTAGTGCAGTACTTCCCCCGGGGGTGGGGTGGGGGATTTAACTATGAAAGACAGAGCCCACTGACTGGCCAGAGCTGCCCATACTCCTTGGGCCCGCTAGGAAGCGCTTCAGGGCTGTGATGGGAGGGCCGCTCCAGTCTACTTGATGGCTTATACTTTTCTCCAGGCTCTGTACATTTGCAAAAGTCCTGCTACTGCTGGGTCATTTGCCTCCCCCAGCATTGCATTCCCAGGGTCTGCTTTGCTGCTGCGTAGGGCCTGGCCCTGGGTGTGGATGTCCTCCCAGTACACTTCCCTGGCCAGGGATTCTCCATGGTGGTGGTTGTGGATCATTTGGTAAGGGCCCCTGGTGAGGCGGGCTCTGAGGAGACCAAACAAGTAAAAAGAACAGGAGTACTTGTGGCACCTTAGAGACTAACACATTTATTTGAGCATAAGCTTTCGTGGGCTACAGCCCACTTCTTCGGATGCACAGAATGGAACATATATTGAGGAGATATATATACACATACAGAGAGCATGAACAGGTGGGAGTTGTCTTACCAACTCTGAGAGGCCAATTAAGTAAGAAAAAAAAAAACTTTTGAAGTGATAATCAAGATAGCCCAGTACAGACAGTTTGATAAGTAGTGTGAGAATGCTTACATGGGGAGATAGATTCAATGTTTGTAATGGCTCAGCCATTCCCAGTCTCTGTTCAAGCCTAAGTTGATTGTATCTAGTTTGCATATCAATTCCAGCTCAGCAGTTTCTCGTTGGAGTCTGTTTTTGAAGCTTTTCTGTTGCAAAATTGCCACCCGCAGGTCTGTCATTGAATGGCCAGACAGGTTAAAGTGTTCTCCTACTGGTTTTTGAATGTTATGATTCCTGATGTCAGATTTGTGTCCATTAATTCTTTTGCGTAGAGACTGTCCGGTTTGGCCAATGTACATGGCCGAGGGGCATTGCTGGCACATGACGGCATATATCACATTGGTAGATGTGCAGGTGAACGAGCCCCTGATGGCATGGCTGATGTGATTAGGTCCTATGATGATGTCACTTGAATAGATATGTGGATAGAGTTGGCATCGGGCTTTGTTGCAAGGATAGGTTCCTGGGTCAGTGTTTTTGTTCAGTGATGTGTGGTTGCTGGTGAGTATTTGCTTCAGGTTGGGGGGTTGTCTGTAAGCGAGGACAGGTCCATCCAGGACACACCACACGATCCATTGTCTACAGCCAAGCTCTAAGATACAACCGCATTTGCTCCAATCCCTCAGACAGAGACAAGCACCTACAAGATCTCTGTCAAGCATTCTTAAAATTACAATACCCACCTGCTGAAGTGAAAAAAACAGATTGACAGAGCCAGAACGGTACCCAGAAGTCACCTACTACAAGACAGGCCCAACAAAGAAAATAACAGAACACCACTAGCTGTCACCTTCAGCCCCCAACTAAAACCTCTCCAGCGCATCATTAGAGATCTACAACCTATCCTGAAAGATGATCCCTCACTCTCACAGATCTTGGGAGACAGACCTGTTCTTTTTGCGGTTACAGACTAACACGGCTGCTACTCTCAAACAAGTAAAGACCCTCCCACTCCGACACTGGCAGGAAGGGGCCATAGGTCTGGAAGGCAGGGATCCTCAAAGGCGCTGAACTTCCAAATGGCCCGAGGTGCCTGTCTCCCTTGGAGGATCTGGCCTAGGCTTTATGGGGCCAGGACTATCTTTTCATTGTGTGTGTGTGTGCAGCCCAAACCCAACGGAGCCCCGATCCCCGGACAGATAATAAGTTCATACACAGGGTCTAATACAAAGCCTACCCAAGTCAGGGAGAGGCTTTGGCTCAGGGCCGCAGGAGGGCCTTGCGTCACGGTTGTCCTGCCCGCTGTCATTTGCTCCCGTGCAAAGTGCATATGAAAGGCAGAGCAATCAGAATAGCCCAAGGCAACAGGGAAGTAGGTCCATTGGATTTGCCGGCTCAGATGCCTGGCGTGCACATGGGACCATCTGTCTTACTTACTCACACGGCCCCCATCCGGGCAGTGTCTGAGAATCTCACCGTCTTTGCCGTGTCATCACCATGCCGCTGTGAGGTACTGCAGGCCTATTAGCCCCATGTTACAGATGAGGAACAGTTCCGCAAAAGTATTTAGGCTCCTAAATCCCTTTGAAATCCATGGGAGCCTAAGTACCTTTGAAGAGCTGGGCCTAAGTGACTTCCCCCAGGTTGAACAGGGAGCTTCAGGCAGAGCAACAAAATAATAATAATAATAATAAAAAAATATGGGATAGCTCAGTGGTTTGAGCATTGGCCTGCTAAACCCAGGGTTGTGAGTTTAATCCTTGAGGGGGCCATTTAGGGATGGGGGCAAAGATCTGTTGGATGATTTAATTGGGGATTGGTCCTGCTTTGAGCAGGGGGTTGGACTAGATGATCTCCTGAGGTCCCTTCCAACCCTGAGATTCTATGATCGATCTGTCATATAGAACTGAAAGGTCATTGAGTCCAGTCACCTGCCTTCACTAGCAGGACCAAGTACTGATTTTGCCCCAGATCCCTAAGTGGCCCCCTTAAGGATTGAACTCACAATCCTGGGTTTAGGAGGCCAATGCTCAAACCACTGAGCTATCCCTCCCTGGATGTCTGTAGTCTCCAGCTAACACCCTAACTCCAGGACCAACCTTCCTGTCCTGTGCCTGGGCATTTGTGGGTCCAACTCAACAGTATGTGCTGGGGTGACTGTGTCTGTCAGCGTGTGAGGTTCTGATTCGCTCCACTGAGGGGCTTTACCCCGCTGGTGTAAATGGAGAAACAATCGGGCTCTGGGTGTGTTTGTACCTGTATGTGCACCACGAAGGAAGGTGCTGCAAGACAAAAAGCAATCCTTGCCATATTATCGTTCTGAACAGACCTCTGGGATTTGGACTAAGTGCAGAATTTCTTCGGCATTTAAGCATAAAAACCCACCCAAACAGGACCAGTTCCAGGGTTTTTGCCGCCCCAAGTGGCGGGGGAAAAAAAAAAAGCCGCTATCGCAATTGCGATCAGCGGCACTCCGGTGGCAGCTCCACCGCGCCGCTTTCTTCTTCAGCAGGAATTCGGCGGCAGGTGCTTCCCTCCGAGAGGGACCCGCCGCCGAAGAGCCCGACGTGCCGCCCCTTCCCCTTGGCCGCCCCAAGCACCTGCCTGCTGGGCTGGTGCCTGGAGCCGGCCCTGCACCCAAACAAACAACCGGAATAAAGGGGAATATCCTCAGCTGGTGTCAATTGCTGCCATCAATGGAGTGATGCCAAGTTACAGCAGCTAAGGATCTGGCCCAAATACGTCTCGCATCAATAGGCCTCCTGACTCGCTTCCCTATTCTTGGGCCGACAGTCACACAAGCTTTGGAAAATAAAACCATCTCTCGTCCTCCAGTTTCTTCCTCGCACTTGGATGGTGGTTTCTTTTTTCACAGAAGTGAAGGCTCCATCTTAGAAAAAGTTCCTTCTGCCGTTCATCTGCCTGGCTTCACTGTGATGGCATTTGGATTGTACCTACCTCTCCCATGCATGCTGCTTAATGCAGCCCCAGGCTTTATTGATCTGCCGGGGGGGGGGGGGGGGGGGAATCACTGCTAGTAGCCACTGGCCTGCCATAAACAAGCTTGTCAATTGCATTGCAAACCA